AAGTTGAATTTGATTGTCTGTCTGAGCTGTGGAGTTATGCTGTGGCTATTTGCAGGTCAGGTCTTACTCTGACCAGTGTATTAAACGGTCTGCATTAAACATATTTTGGTCAAGATGTGGTCTTCAAATTCAAAACGGAGACTTCTGATAATAAATGAATTTTCTGTCTGTGTTAACGTTTTGTTTTTGGAACACTGACTTGTTCAAACACTGTTTGCAGAACATGTAATCTTGCTTAGATAAAAAGCAGAGTGTTTTGCTGTGTCCCATGTCCTTATTGTTTTATCTATCCGAGTGGAAGTGCGTTTATCAGGGTGAATGTGGTGGCAGGAAAACATTGTATACACTCACTGAAAATCAGTAGTCCTGCTGTAAATATAATTATCTTGGATCAGCATACTTTTGCGATATGTGACTGCTTTCTTCCTGCAGGAAGTTGGGCCGATCTGGCGCCTCCTTCACTTGGTGTAGGAAATGTAACTTTAAAGAAATGTTAAAATGGTGTAGCCATGCAGCTTGGCTTAAAGTGGAGTTGTTATGCTCAGTTTCATATTTCGTTCTTGGACTCCTACTTGAGCAGCTTTGTATGATTTACATTTTAAAATAATCCTCATATCTTTTAGGACGCATTGGCGTAGGCCCCAAAAAATAAAGCAATCAGTTTTAACTCCTTCATTTTAATTTCTATATTTATTTTAATTGGCTCCCTCTTTGTGTGTCACCAGCGTCACACAGAGCCAAGACCAGTGAGCAATTTAAAAGCCTGACACTTATTCACACTCAGTGTATTATCTTAAGTTTAATATGAAGAGCAACCATTGTAGCGGTATACATGACAGAAAATAATGAGGGCATTAGTTCCACTTCATTGTAAATTAAGCATCAATGAGCCCTTTTAATCAAAGGTTAGTCCAAGTGATAAACAAACAAGCAAGTATATGTTGCATTTCCTTAATATTACAGCATTATAGAGCACATAAGAATCAATTTACTTATGTAGCCTAATCGTTTCTACACTGCGTCGAAAATTAGCAGCAAGCTTGTGTGCGCTGTTGTACGAGTTCAAAAAGAAGCACATGAACGCACCACGAGAGGTGCGTCTCAGGGCGCCGCTGAGGTGAGAAAAACAGCATGAGTTGATGAAGTCTGGCCGCACAGCCCTGAAAATGTGGACGGAGATGAAAAACAAAAGCAGCGCTCTAACCAATAACGGAAATAGTTCAAAGGTGAGAAGGAAGCGCTTTTTGTGTGTTTTGTGAGCGACAATGTACCAAAAACAAGTCTGTCGGGCTCTGTCTGACGACGGTTACACGGTACTGATTTACGTGTTTATAAGCGGGCTTGTTTGATTGTTTTTACTGGGAGCGTAACCTGTTCCTGTTCTGTTCTGTTTGGCTGTAAGTAGATTCACACGCTCAAGCGTTGCTCTGGCGCACACGTTTTACATTTTCTTGGACATTCTCTTACCTTTGTGCCTGTCGATGCCCCCCAAACGCTCCGATTTTTCACCTTAAACTTCCTGCAGCAAGTTCCTACATCTGCTGTAACACACGTTAGATGTACACGTTTTTAACAAAGAAGGCGAGTTAAAAGTGTGTGTGTGTAGGCAGCACTCTTGTGTTCAAACCCGAATGTTTTGCTTGCACTTTCAGATGGTCGACCGAGATCTCGGGGAGCAGTTGTCACATGCGGTGCAGCAGAGCAATGGTAGGTCTTATCTCTTCCTTGAGGTTTTCTCATACCTGTCTTCTTCCTCTTGGGTTGCAATCGTAAGTTCACCAGAAGAGTCCCAAGATAACAGAATGAAAGAGATGCTGCAATATTTTGTAGTGTTTTCATTTTAGGCACGGTATTATGCGTGGATAGTAACTCCACCAAAAAGTGCCTTAACTACCTGAAACTCGATGAAAGAATCCAACAAATTCACTTCAGGTGAATTCCATTCAGTCCATTCTATTTATAGGGAGCAAAAAAACAACATGGCACAGTTTCAGTGACGCCCAATAGTCTCTGCTCAACACGAACGCATAGCAATAACTTGCACAAAAATGCAAATTATTTACTGTGTTATGCAACAACTGTGGGTATGGATTACACGAAAGGGGTGTTTCTGATTTTAATGGAGACAGTGTGGATCAACCAACTGCTTCTGGAACTGTTCATGTAGTAAAAAAGTGTGCTCACTGAGAAGGAAGCATGTGTATTGCAGCAGCGTGAGCACTGTGCAGATTTGAATCTTTAACTGACACAGTTTCACCAGCATCACAGCAAAAGCTGCTTGGGAATAAAATTGTTGAATCCCGATCAGAGTAT